TTCCGGGTGGAAAAGGCGAAAATTATTGCCACTGAAAATGTAAGAAGGACAGAACTCCAGTGTGTATTGAATATCTAGAGTTCCCACTGTCTTCACTGGGAGCTTGCAGCACTCAAAGGTTTTGAAAAAGCAGATCTCTGCTCTAAGCTGGCCAGGGAAATACTGCAGAGCGATAAATGCCTCTCTGGCTGAGCCAGACTTCAGACCGGAGTGGTAGATCTGATGAAGAAAAGGGAATCAAACTCCATTCTTTATTCATGGCTTGGAATACACAGCTCTAGCCTCTAGGCAAATTGATCAGCTGATACTTGATAATTAGCACAGTACTTGTGGGAGAAACAGGTGTCTGATATGTTTGCCCTTAAATTTTAGCATCATTCAAGGTTTTGCTGGCAGAAGTACAGCTGAAAGCAGCAGCTGTGAATGGAAGATCCTTAGCTGGATTTCAAAAGCAGAGGACAAACAGTCTCATCTGGAGCTTACACTAGGTTTCTAGCACGAACTGCCTCACTACTAGGAAAGAGCACTTCTTCAATGAAAATAACCCTTGTTCATCCAAGTGAAAAGCTAGAACTACTGATAGTGACATCTGGTGGCACCTAAAAATGTCACATTTGAAACTAAATCCCTTTCTGGTGCAAAAATTAAAAAAAAAAAAAAAAATCACTTATGGTTTGACTCTTTTCCAGGGGGAGTTTGTAGAAGAAGTTTTATCTACTGGCAGTGAACGCCCCTTCCTCCCTTCAGTCAGGGATGTCTATGAAACCTCAATCCCCATGGAGTTAGTTTCCACCTGATCTGTGTGTTGAAGGAATGAACTAAACTCCCAGATGCTTCTTAGAGGGTATTTACATTCTCTGTGGACACTGCACAAAATAAATCAAGTAAATGCCGCTTATAGATATGGTGATTCAAACGAGAAATTCTACCATCTATGAAGAAATAGATGCGAATACAAAGGGACTTTGGCACTATAATATATGACACTTCTCCGGCCTGGAGAAATACATCAGGTGTCTTCAATTAAAATAATAACAGTAATCCTCTTAGCCCTGTTTAATTCAAGCCAAGCATTTAAATTCAGTTTTCTCTCAGCTGATCTTAATAACCCTGCTACAATTACTAGAACTCCCTCTGAGTAACCTCTGCTCTGCCCACTGTTGCAGAAACATTTGCCTGGTCTTTTATGCTCTGCTCCTTCCTTTTCTTCAGCTGCATAGATGGTATCTAGTCTATTTTTTCCCTGCATGCTGTACAGGTGCTGATACAGACTATCTGATCAGTGTGACAGCAGAAAGCAAACTCTGTTATAGGAAGGAGAAAGAATACTACTACATCTGCTCTTAGCTCATTGCCCTCCTAAAACCCGCCCGATTAGATTCGCTGCTAGCGTCTCAGCTAAAGAAACCAGAGCAGCTCATGCATTTAGTTCTCCAGGGCTCCATTTGGGTTGTTATGCTGTAAGACAAAATGGTGGCCAAGGACCTTGTTGTCTTGATATAAAAATGAAGAAACACTTTCCAGACTGAGACCCTCAACTTTGTTTTCCCAAAGAGAAGCATCGTCTTTCACTGCTATGCTTCAACTCATATTTCTTTGTGAGAGAAACTCCTAACGTATAAACAGGTACAAATTGCAATGATGGCCTCTTGAAGAAAGCCATACGCTACATATAAGACAAAGGATCGGCACCTCTAGATGACACATTTTACTGTAATATTATTTCTATTACACCATCTACAGAGTCCAACAAGAATTTCGGGACCCACCTGCTAACTGCTAACATATGCACACCTGCATATATTCATGTGAGCGTGCACACATATTCATGTGAGCGTTTGGGGAGATTTGTGCCTGTATGTAAATCAACAGTAATCTTTGATACTTGGGTATGAATAATTTCCCCAACAATTGTCAACCAGTCTCTTGGAGAAAAAGGATGTTTATAGTACTCAAAAGTATTATAAATATGAATAAACATTAGCTCATACATTGAATAGTGTTAATAATATGCAGACAAATATATCTCTTTATACATAGCCTTCCCCTCTTTCTTGCTGCTAAACCTGTTCAAGTACAACTTCTGGACATTTTTCAGATTGCTCTGCTTTCACACGCTTACATAACTCATGAACCTCTAATCTTCTTTCAGAGTTGGTTTCTTCGTCTCTGAGGGATAACCACAATATGCAGTGCGTATCTCCTGGACTCGGCAGAGCTTGAGGAGAATGGCAGCTTCTCAGTCCTTTTATAAACACTTCACAACCCTGTCAGTGAATAAGCAGCAAGGAGCCTTCACAGGGAGTAGCAGAGCAGGTTTCGAGTTAATAGCTGACTGATACTCAGTTTTAGGTGAAAGCAGGAACCTAAAACTTTGAGTTTGTGCCCAGATGGGCACAATGTTGGGACAGGAAACATATATTTTAGTCTTGCATCATGAAAGTCACCGAGTCCTCTGGGCAATCCTTAATGACTGTATTTATAACTTCCTCACGCCTCTGTGCTCTGATTGACTCAGTTCTTGGAGGATGAGCATGTTTGATCTGCCAAGCGAAGTACCCAAGGTGAAAATTTCTGTTATAGGTTCAGAAACAGAAACTGTCACAGTTGAATTCTGGACATTTCTGGGCTCTTGTTCCCTTTTCTTGGTATATGAGCAGACACAGAACACTCTAAACTAAACCCATCTTTATTCTCTATTGCTTCTCTTCTTTTGGGGGGAGGGCTTTAAAAACTAAATACTATAGTCTAAAACGTATGGATTGTACTAACAAAATAGATCGTATCTGCCTCAATGACAGAATACTCTTAGATAAATTAAAGGCTTTGGCAGATATCTTCAGTTCCTCTAAATTGCCTGAAAAGCTTAAAGGTTCTCATCCAATCAAAAAATTTCAAATTGAAACTGGTCCTTAAGAAGACCAGTTTCTAAGGAGAATCCTTTTCAGAGAATGCTCCAAAATGTCGTATCCCCTTTAATTGGACATCTTTTGCTTAGAATTACCTCGTTTAACTCAATATTCTAAATTTTACATCTGCATTCATAAACTTGGCAAACACAGTGAGTAGATTACTAATTCAGGGAATAATTACAGTACCCGCTTTTGTTTTATCTTGTTTTAATTTATAAAAACTTTACTCTGGAAGTAAAGTTACAACAGCACTCTTGGTTTTTGATCACAGATGAAGACTTTTGGCAAAAGAAATGAAACTAGCTGGAGATTAGCTGGAGATTTTTTAATTTTTTTTCCCTGCTAACAAGAAAACCAAAGTTCATTGTTATATTAAAATGAACTACAATGCCAATTTCTGAGTTCCTTCTTGGAACGGACAACAAGGGGAGCTGTCTCAGCAAAAAGTCGTTCTTGGATAAGCTGTTCAGTGATTTCCATTTTTGCCTTCAGGCATTAGAGATTGAAGAGTTTACCTTCTTGAAATTAGAAGCAGACTCCTGCCAGTGGAGTATTAGGGGCTTTTACAATAACAGCAGCAAAGAGGAGACTGAAGAGGCAAAATGAATGCACAAAGATCTTGGAGTTGTGTGACTGCTTTAAAAAGTTTCTGCAAAGCTTTCTTTGGATAGTTTTGATTTTGGAGGGGAAGAAAGAAAGGCTTTTGCAAAGGGCCCTGGACAGAGATTCAGAAGACCTGAACCGTTCCCAGAGTTGTCACAGATTTCCTATGTCTGCTTTGGTAAAGGACTTAAGATGAGATACAAAAGATCATATAGAAGCTTAAAATATAAATTAAATATAAATTAGGTACACGCATCAAAAGAAGGGATTCAAAATCTGTTCATGTAACTGCTAGGATGAACTCAATGATCTCTGAGTCCAGAAGAGATGTACTGTATATCATGCTTATACCTCACATTCAAAAGGCAGTGACCTTTTCACCACAAAAACACAGTGAGCTGCATGAAGCTCAGCTATTGAAAATGCACAGAGATGCTATTTCTTGCTGAGAGAGGCAATTTGGGATTTAAAGATGAGGCATTTATAATTCCCATGAAGGTTGTGATGGCCGAACCCTCCAAGCTGAGAGAAAGCCCAGATTACGGGGAACAATAATGTGCTTTGTAATAAGAAAGACTTGATGTTAAATCGATCACAAATGAACTTTTCAAACACGGTGAAATAGGCATGATAAATCTATTAAGAAAACATGCATTTAATGTTTCTCATCACATGGGGCTGTAATAGAAGGTTTATATTTATATTCTGCTTGTTCTTAATTTACCATCAGTTCTGTGAAAAAGACAATGCCTAGGAAGAAGTGCCTACTGAACTCTCTACTTTGATGGGGCTTTGGAGAAAGGAAAGGACTAATAAAAGCTTAAAAAGAGCAGGGTGGACCAGGCAGGCAGAGACGCAGAGAGCAGGGGGGCGGGTATAGGGAACAACCTTGAGATGAGCAGCTTTGGTAAGAACAAACCCAAAAGGAAGCTCTCAGAGCTAGAGACAATGGCATAGAATTTGTGTAAATTCGGAACCGCTGAAAATTGTTGGCTTGAGAACCAGGCCAAACACTCATCCTGGAAGAACACAGTGGGCAGAGCTCAGGAGGCTTGTTTTTAAACCCTCTACTTAAATCTCACTAAGAGATCTCTGTCTATCCAAAACCAAACAAATCATAATTTAAATATTTTGTGTTCTAAGACGATTGGGCTTTATACATGGAGAGCCCTAGTTTTCTTTAATGTACCTACTTTAAAGAAAAAGTGGGACAGTCTTTCTCAGTTCCGACCAACAGGATCCTGCCACGGTATCTGAATTTTCATTATGATTTTAAGGATGCTAGATGCAGAGAGGGGTAAGGAGGAAGAGAGAGAAGAGCAGAACATCATCTGAAGCCAGGAATGTAAACTAGAAAATTAATACAATAGGTCAGTAAATAGAGCAAGCATGAGAAGAGGAATGAAGGTAGTGACTGTGCCACGGGATGCTCTTGTTTCCTAGGCACAGCAAACAGGAGCCAATTCTTATGAAGAAAGGGTAAATTGAAAGTGAGACAATCAAGGCTTAAGCTGGAAGAGCAGTAGGTTTCTGAAGACATCTTGAGAAAACATGAAATATGAGCTCGAGGAAATTTCCAAGGACAATGCAGGAGTAGAGAAGGTAAGGAATAAGGCCACTAGTAAATATAATCTATAATTGAGTGTTCTTTTCTAGTAATTTTTTCTTTTTTTCAAACCATCATTTCATCCCGATTTGATAGATTGAAGATGCTTCTTTTAAATCTTGTCTGGTATCAAAGTGATTTTAGGGCACTCTGACAAACTTATTTCCTTGTCAGATTGACAAATATGACAGACTGAAGTAGAATGCTTCTTTATGCATAGGGAGAGTCCCAAGAGTTGGGAAACATAATCTGCACACCACTCCGAGCACTGACAGCTACATTAGAGTAGAGTTTCTTGCTATAAACTGTAAACCCTGTTCTTTGCATTAGAGGTTAAAAAAAAAAATCACAGTAGTCAAGAAAACGATGCCATAGACTCTATCCAGGACTGACTAACCGCCTCTAGTTAGTCAGCAGCTTTTTAGAGGATTGTTCAGATAAAATGCTTGCCAATTTCTGGGAATCAAGAAGCATATATTGTTCCACAGTCCTGAATGGCTGGACGTTTAAGAGTATGACTTCAGCACGCAACTCATCAAAGGTGCAATATACGAATATTTTGAGAGCTGCTTATGACTAAATGGAATTTCCAGGGTGATGTTTTCCACAGTGAGTTAAGATCTTCAGCATTGCACTGGAGACCTTCGCTGCAGATGTTGGCATACAAAAAATATTTTGTTTAATAACTAGAGATAAATATATATTCACAATTTATTGCTTTAAATGTGATCTAAAACTATATATGACATAATAAAAAAGTAACAGATCCTAATTTAGCAAGCTTTGGCAAATAATAATCCATCCAACCAACTAAAATAATTTAACTAAGATGGAATGAGTGCTTACTGCGGAACGATATATCACTAATGATTGGAACAGGTGTACAAAGTGTCTTAATAAATCAGTAACCTGGAAAACACATCAATTACTTTGAAGGTTAATGGATTTTTTTGTTTGTTCTCCAAAAATCATGAAGATATTTTCGTGAATATGTCAAACCTTTCAAAAACAAACCAAACCAACAACTTTGATAAAAATTTTAGGGTGGTTGATATAGCAGAGCAAGATACTAGTGGCACAAAATTAAGTAGAGTGTTTTTATGACTGGAAGGAAGCAGAATTTTTGTAATACAAGATATCTCAGACTGTAGAAAAGCTATTAAAGTGAACATTTGGACTTATATCTCCCATCACACTTAAAAGCAATACTGGTCAGGAATTTCCATCAGAAAAGTTCTTTAAGGAAACTTAGCATTTTTTAGCGAAATTCTTGGCAGGAAAGATTTCGAAAGATCTAAACTGAAATCTTGTCAAAATATGGCACAATGACTAAGCCAGTACTTGAAGTGCTTGCCTGTTATGTAGGAGACCCTGGAATTTTGACATTAATTTCCTAATCAATGAAGTGGCAGCACTTTCATGATAAGTTTTAGAGGAGTCTTCATTTAATTCTGAAAGAGTGAAAACTTGAATCTTTTTTTGACAAACTGAATACCTGTTTTCCCATCTAGATACTTGGTCTTTATTACACGAATCCTTCAGGGATATATCTTAGAGAGGAGCCACACAATTGCACAAGATGGACACCGGTTTTTTTTTCAGATTTTTTTTTTTAAATCTCACAATAAAGAGATGGAAGAAACTGAGTATAAAATATTTAAGAAATATACAGAAAAGTAACTAGTATGCAGCAGGCTTTATATAGATGAGCAGACTTTAAAATATCTTTTTAAAACAAAAAAAAAGTATTAAAAAACACCAAAAGTGAAGGAAGCAGACACAGAAAAAGTGAAGAAATAGTTAATGCTTTAAGGTATTTTAATAAAAAGGAAAATCTTGTTTTATCTTATCTTCCAGTATGCTCTAAAACTTCCAGAGAGAATGAGGAACAGGAAGATTTAAATAGATCACTTGAAAAATTATTTTTTTCATCCTATCATCTTTTAGATTCTTAATATCAAGAAGGACGCTCATTTTTCCTTGCATCGAGTATATCATAAATGCTTTTAACTTTCACACAGTTCTTGAATTGTTTTATCTGGGGAATTTCGTGCACTCAGTGATGGAAAGGGTCCATTTTAATTCCGTAGTCCAGAACAAACCCTTTGTAATGCGCCAGTGAGCTCCTTGGGGCATCCTACAGATGGCAGTAGCAATCAAGTCATATGTTCCCTGCAGCAAACATATGACAATAGTAGGACAAATCAAAACAGTTTGTCATTTTGAAAGATGTATTTAGTACAAAGTATTTTCCAGGCAAAAGAGCAGGGATGACGTGCATCTGGAGGCAGAAGATTAGACAACTTTACAGCAGAAGTGGCAGAGATATATGGTACTTCCATATAATACAACCTAATTTAGAGAAAAGAAATTGACCTGTTAGACAGATCCTGAATATGCAAATACGATTCACACAGGGACAATTGCAGATCAAAGAGATATACAGAGGACTAGAATAAAAGTCCCTGGTTTTCTTTTCATCTCATCTGAAGTCAATTCAATTCTTTTCTGTCTGATATAACCAATGTTTCATAATAAACAGCCTCAGAGTTAACAGTTAACTAGACTTCATTACAGAACATAGGAAATTGGTTAAGAACTGTCATATATAGAGAGGTATTTCAAGTAATGGCTAAGTTAAGAGTTGCTTTCCTTACCGAAACCTTGCAGCCCACAGTCCAGTTCCTGAGTCAGAGCACCATGCACAAAGAAATAATCTTCGGACTCCATTGCTTTTGATTTTGCGTGAGCCCAACAATCTTTTCCCAGTTATCCTGCAGTTAGCATTCATGTAATCTCGCTTTCTTACTCACAAGGTAAACAAGGCATTGGCGGTCCCTCCTTTTTCAGCCAAGCTTACAATTAAAAAGGCTGCAATAACTTTCACAGAAGTAATTAGCAGCATGCTGCAATTCTGAATCCAGCCCTCTTCTAGGGCTGTCACCACTGAAGATGTGTCCAGACTGCAAACAGAAAGGCAAAGAAAAGTCCTACCCGAGTTGTCTCCAGGTAATTTGAGCTTCAATAACAGAGAAGATGCATAAAATGAATATCAGTGTAGTTGCACCAACCAAAGAAGAACCTCTGCTGTGGTCGCTCTCATGACATTGCTGGGCCAGCTTTGCTATCGTTTATACTTGAGCAAACGCAGGGGGGTGAATACATTTTCCTCCTTTTGTTCTGAAATTCAGATCCATTACAACAGTATCTCTGCAGGGTCAATAGTACTCTTTCTTTGAAAGCCCTGATACCACACATGCTATGGACCAGCAACCAAAGAGAGTATGTGTTTTTACGGAACAACTAGGCTACCCACACCTACAACATGAGTCATAGAGCTGAATCCAGCTATTCCTGCATAGTGTCTCTCTGTCTGTTTTAGAAGAGTAGAATTCTTAATATAAAGATTTCAAAAGATATAAATTCCACTTTTCCCCCTGTAGTTTGTATTGATTAATTAGAAATATGAACATAAAAAGCTCTAAATTGAAATTTTCAATTTGATATTTATCACTCCTTCCTCTGACTGATTAAGGAAGCCAGTGTTTCCTCCTTGTGGGGCTATCAGAACACAGAGATCTTCCTTTGATGAGTTAACGGACTGAGATCCTTAAAACTCTTTTTTTTTTAGGGATTTGTCCCCACCCTTGAATCACTTTTGTGACTTTTTTTTTCTTATACTCTTGCCAATTTTACGCTATTTTAAAAGAAATACTGTCACCAGAACTGTGTGGAATACTCTAGTTTCTGTTTCAGTAATGACACACAGGGGAAGAAAAAAAATCACTTCCTAATTCATTGTTCTCCTAATAACTAGAGTCAATGAATCTTCTTGCTACAGCATTTTAATTCCAGGAAATTAAAATTTGTCTACTGTGACCCCTAAATCCTTTTAGGAATCACAGCCTGCTAGTACCTGAATTGCACTCTGTAGATATCCCCTGTAGTTTTTGCTCTCATATGGGTGTGCATGAATATAAACCTGCAGTGCAATACATTAGGTAAAAATATAAGTGGTCCTTTGGATTTTATTCTGAAAGACACTACCCTGCAAAATATACATTCAGCTCTAAACAAAATACTAGTAGAGTGAAGATATTGTAGGGAAGAGCTAAAATGACGGGCTGGCTGAAGGAGGACAACAACTGAGAGTGAGGAAATTATAGAAAATATTAGAAATGGGTCAAATGTAAGTGCCTATTGAAAGAATTTCTAGCGAATATGAAGATTTAACTGGTAATATGAAAATTAAAGTAACAAAATTGAGGTTGAGCATCTGAAAATGCTTTTCCTAACAATGCATGAAGCTGTGGAACATTTTCTAAAGGAACTTATATCTCTTGGGACATTTTAAACTTAGACTGATCCAAACGAGAAAAATGTTTGGATTGAAATAATCTTGCCTGGGTAGAAATCTAGACCAGATGGTCTCATTTTTTCTGTAAATAAATAATGTAATGAGTCTATAATAGCATGATCTGTTGAGTAAGTAAATGCCATTTTTCATTACTAATTTTCTAAAGATGCTTTTTGGAAGCACATGGTCAGTCTGGATGCAAAACTTAACTCAGCTTAGACTTTAAAGGAACTTTAACGAGAAATTAATTCCATTTTCCAGGAAGTCTGAGTACATACAAAATCAAAATATTTTTATACCTTTTAGTCTAAAATAGAGATACGTCTTGGGAAATTTTCTGTTAATATAGCCTATGTTAGACTAGTCCCAATGAAAAACACAGAGTTAATTCTCTAAGACTTTATCTGCTACTTTCTATAAAATATCATTCAAAGATCATGAAATCAGTGGAAGGGTTCCCAGTGATTTCAATGGGCTTTGAATTAAGCCCTAAATTCACTTTTGAAAAACAAAGTAAACTGTATATTCTAAACATAATGAACCCTTTACAAAAAACAGTAGATTTATTCATCCACCAGAAAAATACATTAAAAGAACATTAAAGTTGTGATGCAAAAGAAAAGATGTGTGAGAATTTTG